TACTTAGCCTTAAACTTTGTGTTTTATAGGACAATTTGAATATATGTCCAGAGGAGTACAAGCCAATTTGCATGAAAAACTGTAACAGCATATGGAAGGATCACAAGAATAAGATTAAGTGTAAGTATTTCAAGCCTAGAAGTGAAGATCGTAATTTGAAGGATGATGTTCCTTTGCACATTGTGCTAAGCCAGTGGGAAGAACTTGTGGAGTATTGGCGTACTTCCGATGCTGAGGTATACAAATAAGTTATATGTATGATATGTAAACATACAAATCATATTTATATACTTACATTTGTTGAACCTATTATAGAAAATTGCAACTAGGAACGCTAAAAATCGGCGAGCTCACGGCATAGCTCATACCACAGGGCGTACTACTTTCGCTCAGATACGGCATGAGGTTTATATTTTACTGTTTTATTTTTGTATATAAATAAACATTGTATATTTACAAATTATTTGGATTCTAATTTTCATATTTCTAAAAAAATATAGATGACCAATAAGGGGGAATCTACTAATAAGATGAATGTTTGGCTTATGACACGTAGAGCAGATGACCCAGAGGTTATCCACACCTTGGTAGTTTCCAAAGACCTTTGATTGCATTTAAAGTTTATTTTTTATTTTTTGTGTTAACTATCTTAATTTGGCATATACTTGTATTTCTTATTCAATACAGGATGAGTTTAATGGCCAACTCTCTATGCTACCTGAGGATTGTCGGACTTTGGAGGCTAGGAATGCCATTTTCCATGAGTTGATAGGTCATGACAATCATGGATATTGTCGCACATACGGGAGAACTGTGCCTCAGAGAGCAGTGTATAAAGATGGTGCAGGGCCATCACAGTCAGCACCCCAGCCATCGACTATTGTTCAGATCACCCAGCAGGTTCGTGCGGAGCTAAGGGATGAGTTGAGGGAGGAGCTGAGAGCAGAGTTCTCTACACATTTACAGCAGCTGAGAGCTGAGATGATGGCTTTTGTGTCACAGGGGGCAAGTGTGGATCCTAACAGACAGGTTCGATATAAATAAAAATGTTTGATAGTTAAATTGTCACACAACATTATGTATAAAATTCGAATATGATTAACACATTATGCGTTGACTATCATAGGCTCCTGATGCATCAAGTGGCCACCGGGCATTTAGGGAATCTGCAGAAGACGAGAATCCATATACACCACCACCAGAAGATCAGGTATAAAATGTAAATTTACATTCTAAGCTAAAATGTATATTTGAATTCTTTGCATTTTAAGCTAATAGAGTTGTGAGAGAAGACGGGACTCAAATTGGGTTCCCGGATTAGGAGTTAGAGATGGATTTCACTCTAGACAAACTATTTCTTTAAAAAAATTGAATTCGAGGTGTTAACGACCCAAAATCACCAAAAGGGGTCGATTTGGCACGGAAATTGCCACACAGGACCGCCTAGGCACAAGAGATTTGTGGGTGAAGACGGAACTCCAATCGGGTTCCTGGTCTGGGAGTTAGAACCGTATTTTGATTTAGGCAAACTAGTTCCTTAAGAAACTTAAATTCGAGGTGTTAAAACCCCAAAATCACCAAATGGGGTCGGATTGGCACGAAACTTGGCACACACGACCGCCTAGGCATGAGAGACTTGTGGGAGAAGACGGGACACCAATCGGTTTCCCGGTTTGGGAGTTAGAGCCATATTTCGGTTTAGGCAAACTAGTTCCTTAAAAAACTTGAATTCGAGGTGTTGACGCCCCAAAATCACCCAACGGGGTCGGATTGGCACGAAACTTGGCACTCACGACCGCCTAGGCACGAGAGATTTATGAGAGAAGACGGGACTCCAATCGATTGCCCGGTTTGGGAGTTAGAGCCATATTTCGGTTTAGGCAAACTAGTTCCTTAAAAAACTTGAATTCGAGGTGTTGACGCCCCAAAATCACCCAACGGGGACGGATTGGCACGAAACATGGCACACACGACCGCCTAGGCATGAGAGACTTGTGGGAGAAGACGGGACTCCAATTGGTTTCCCAATTTGGGAGTTAGAGCCATATTTCGGTTTAGGTAAACTAGTTCCCTAAAAAACTTGAATTCGAGGTGTTGACGCCCCAAAATCACCCAACGGGGTCGGATTGGCACGAAACTTGGCACACACGACCGCCTAGGCACGAGAGATTTGTGGGAGAAGACGGGACTCCAATCGGTTTCCTGGTTCGGGAGTTAGAGCCATATTTCGGTTTAGGCAAACTAGTTCCTTAAAAAACTTGAATTCGAGGTGTTGACGTCCCAAAATCACCCAACGGGGTCGGATTGGCACGAACTTGGCACACACGACTGCTCAGGCACGAGAGACTTGTGGGAGAAGACGGCACTCCAATCGGTTTCCCGATTTGGGAGTTAGAGCCATATTTCGGTTTAGACAAACTAGTTCCTTAAAAAACTTGAATTCGAGGTGTTGACGCCCCAAAATCACCCAACGGGGTCGGATTGGCACGAAACTTGGCACACACGACCGCCTAGGCACGAGAGAATTTTGGGAGAAGACGGGACTCCAATCGGTTTCCCGGTTTGGGAGTTAGAGCCATATTTCCGTTTAGGCAAACTAGTTCCGTAAAAAACTTGAATTCGTGGTGTTGACTCTCCAAAATCACAGAACGGGGTCGGATTGGCACGAAACTTGGCACAAACGACCGCCTTGGCACGAGAGACATGTGGGAGAAGACGAGACTCCAATCGGCTTCCCGGTTTGGGAGTTAGAGCCATATTTCGGTTTAGGCAAACTAGTTCCTTAAAAAACTTGAATTCGAGGTGTTGACGCCCCAAAATCACCCAACGGGGTCGGATTGGCACGAAACTTGGCACAAACGACCGCCTTAGAGAGATATTAGTTTGGTAATGCAAGGTTTAGGGTTTTAATTCTTGGGTGACTTTAATTAATTTCTTTGAGTGATTTCTTTTGATCTTCAAAAATTATTGTGAGTACAAAAATCCACTTCCCTTGATTTATATTTAATTCTTGTTTTTATTTATTTAATTTGGATATTAAGTTTGATTTTGTATTACACAAAGATGATAGATGTGATTTTAATTATTTGACTAGTGGTGTACGTAAAGTTTTGGGTTCTTAGATAATTGATTGATTTTATTACTTTGATTAGTTGTGTATAGGTAAAGTTTAGGTTTTTTTGATGATTGATTAATTTTTAATTAATTGTGTTTAGTTGTGTAAGTAGGTTTAAGGGTTTAGTAGTGATTGATTGTTTTTAATTATTTTGAATTGGTTGTTTATGTAAGGTTTAGGGTTTTTTAGATGATTGTTTGATTTTAATTATTTTGATTAGTTGTCATGCAAGGTTTCGGGTTTTTTTTATTGGATTGATTTTATGAATAGTAATCAGCACTCATGATTACTATACAAGATTAAAATAAACTTAGAATCCATTGATATTGGTTAGAGATGGATTGATTCGTTGTTATTATTTATTTTGCTTTTTATTTTGATGTTGTATTGATTTTGTATTTGCATGTAAATAAAGGATCTGATTTTACTTATTTGGAATTAATTGTGTATGCCATGTTTATGATTTTTTATAGGGATTTATTTTATGGTTGTAATTACACTCAATGGTCCCATATGAAATTAAAATTATTATGAACCTTTTAGATAAATTCCTTTACTCCAGCCATGACTCCTTGGATTGTTGTTTTATTTGAGTGATGAGGAGAAAGAGTGTATAAAAAAAGTGAGGATTATGAAGAGTTGTTTTAATGCCCTTATGCCGCGGCATTGTTATTTTGTCTCATGATGTTGATGAGATGTTATTTATATTGTTTGTCTCGTTTCTCATGAGGTAGACGAGTGCTTTGATTTGGCGCGCGTACGTATATGCTAAGCCATCCGGGGAGTGTGAGTCAAACTTCGGGATCACGATATCCCTGTGCAAGTTTGGCTTCGAGCGGTGGTTAGGTATACCGGGAGGCACATGGGATATATGTTAGGCCCGGAGGGAGAGCCGAAGTGGTGGGAGTTAAGGAACAAGAATTTAATTATGAATTTATTAGTATAGTGTGTATGGGTATTGTTATGTAACATGATAATAAAAGATAAGTAAAGCGATCTGATAAATTTATGAAAATTTGAGCAGAAAGCATGTATACGTGATTTTGGACAACTCTGTGTTGTGTTTTTATTAAAAAGATCGATTAGAACTTATAATCGGATGACCTTGGTTTATTGTCGGTTTTGATTCTTTGGTAATGCAGATTCTATAGGCTGTTTTAAAACCCTGAAACGAGTTCATTTTTATTGGTTTCGCGTAAACTGAAAGTAAACATTATTCTGCACAACATTTTTATGTTTTGAACTTTTTCGGAAAAAATCAATCTTATGGCAGTTTTTGTTCGTTTCAGCTTCCATATTTTTCGATTGAATTCCGTCTAGATTTTTGATCAAGCCTTCTCTTAACCTGTTTCAGTTTCTGTTAATTCGTTCACGTTGTCTTTTAGGAAATTTGATTCTGTACAACTTTCGTTCTTTGAGTTTTGATCAATTCGAAATTATTTAAGTATGAAACGGTGTAATTTTATATTTGTTTCAATAAGTTACTTATGATTAAATTATACTAACTTTATTTGTTTTGGCGCAAGGATGGTGGGTCTTACTAACTTTTTATGCAAGTTGACCCACCATATTTCTTATTTCTATTTTGTGTATTTTATAATAAATTTATTATTTCGTTGTGTACGGACAAGAAACCTAAATGCCACTGTGTCTCGAGAAACTACCCATTCGTCTCGGTGCAGTTTGGAACTACTTGTCTTGTCCTGTAATAAGAATTTAACGGAAATTTTTTTGTTTGTGTCTGGTGGACACGTGGGTGTTGAATCTTGTACCTCATACCATATAATCTGTATACCTGACCCTTTTGTCTCTTGGCAACGTCGGGTGCGTTCTGTTTGAGCGCAATCCGAGGCTTCTTTGCAGGATTATTGAAGGCTAGGGTAGTGGACGGAAAGTAATAAAGTTTTTGGGCATATCTCTGGATTTCTTTTGTTTTCCTTGAGCGTTAGGGTTGTTAAGTAGATTAAATGTTTTTTTATTATTAATTTTTTTTTATGGACTTTTAGTATTAGAAATAATTTGGTAATGGTTTGTAACCGTAACTGTTATTTAAGTTGTTTTGGCTGGTTGTTTGCCTGCCTTAATGTTGAGGTATTCTTGTTAGTTATGAATTTTTTGGTGGATGGGTTTTGGTTATTGGGTTAGTTTTTTTGTTTCACGTCCCAGAATTTGATGATAGATTATCGATTGGGGTTTAGGCACTAATTTAATATTCAATTGTCGCCCGAACTTTGGGGCGTGACAGGGAGCTTTGGAAAAAACTTGAATGTAAGGGTTTATATTTGGGAACTTAGGTTTGAGATTTTTTTCACTAAAAGATAAATTTTTGGCAAAAATAAAAAACACATCCAGAACAAAATATCACATCCAACCCATAATCATTTCCACTTTTTTTTCTCTTACAACATCACAATCAATCACATAAAAAAACTCAACTATCATCCCAAACACTAAAAAAAATTTATCTAATATATCCTACAACTAAAAAAACTATCGTAAAAACCCAACTTCCCGCAAACAACCACACTAATATTTCCATAATTTCTCACCATTTATCTTTCAAATGTGTATGTGTACTGAGAAAATGGAGGCTACCCTCTACCTGCGAAGATTTATTATGTGTGCCATATCATTACAAGAAAACCTGGCTAATAACAACGGATGGTTTTTTGCGACGGGGGTGATTACCGTCGCAAAAGAACCACTTTTTTGCGACGGGAAATAGTTTACCGTCTCCAAAAAAAGAATTTTTTGCGAACGATATATATTTGCCGTCGCCCAAAGACGACTTTGCGACGGCGTGTATCTGCTACCGTCGAGAAACTGGCCTTTTGCGACGGTGAGTATTCCGTCGCTAAAAGGTTGAAAAAGAAATTTGCATGAAATTATTGCGACGACAGGTATAAAACCCGTCCGCAAAAAACGTCTTATTAGCGCGGTTAAATTTTACTGTCACAGAAAGGGGACCATTTGCGACGGCAGAAGACCATCGCAAAAAACTCTGGTAAACGACGTCAGTTTCTATATTTAATTACGCTCATTTGCGACGGTTAAAATATACCGTTCGTCAAATAAATAAAGATTTGTTCCCGCTG